AAAAGCTCCTCACATGATTCTGATGTGCAGCCAAGTTTGTATTTAGCAATTCTTATTCTAAGTGGCAGAATGGGAACTAGCAGAAGTTCCCAGAAAGTAAATTTGTCTCAGAACGAGGAATTGCTTTCTAGCCACTAAAGCTGGAATTTAGAGAAGTAGTGAGCTTCTCACAATAGGATGCATTCAAATCTAGGCTAGATGAGGTAAGATGGGGTAAGGAAGGAAACTCGAAAGTGCTCTATGTTTAGTGGGATTTTGAACTAGTTACCCCAAGGGCCATTGATTCTTAAGATTCTGTGACTAGTTTTAGCCCTAGTTCCACTGTCCTGTCTATGCTTGGTATCTCCTTAATGACTTTCTCCCGTGACTTTGGGCCTAGCATTCTCTCTTTCAAAACAGACTGTGGGTGAAAATTGGCAGGATTCTGAAAAGTGCATCGCTTCCCTTCCAATCCAGGAAAATGGTCTTTGCATGCGGCTGTTCCTTGTGCTCACTTCCCCTGGCCGCCATTCACCCTAATACACCTGTGCCTGCCAAGGCTGGGGAGACCCCAGTGGTATGTTTAAGAAGCTGTGTCATTAGCTGATTAATCCTCTCTTCTTGAGTGGCCCTAATAAACTCTGGGCAGATACAGCATCATACCTAGGTGCCATTCACTCCTGAGTTTTGAGAGTTTAAGACCTCTAAGGTGAAAGGGGAGAAGTTTGGGCCAAAGTGTTATACTTGCATTTTACACAGATATTCCATACCTTTCTTTTAGTTTTGTCATGTGATGGAGAGGAAACCAAAGCCCTGGAGCCACCGAAGAAACCACAGGGCAGAGAGTGCTGGCCCACACTAAGGGGCCCCAGGACAGGTGAGGGTGGTGGTTCTGAGGACCTGGCTTTACAGCCAGACTGGCCTTGGTTTGAATCCAAACTCTGCCCCTCACTACCCATGTGACCAGTGAAACACTAATAATATGAAAGTTTTACAAAATGATAGTGGGGATCAAGTCAGTAAAGCACACTGGATGGGGTCCCACAGGTAAGAGATGCTTAATAAATGTTTATCTATGGTAACTATCATTGTCATTGTTTTTGTCTGTCCTTGAACACTTGAAAGATGATTATAATCTATTAGTCAAAGGGCCACATGACTTCAGTAAAGGATGACCATTTAACTTGTTAGATTTTTTAAGGGTTTAATACCTATAGAGAAAGGATGAGAAGTATCAACTGGATTTCCAACAAGTCTTGTAGAGTTTAAACACTGAAGATAGATTAAGAATGGCCTCTGTAGACTTGTGGCCACTTTTTTGAGTATGTGACTTCACGCTCCAAGAAGTCGTAGTAGAACCTTCTAAGGAGGCAATAAAAGCTCTACTCATCTATGCAGGAACTCTCTTGCCCCTTTGTAAACATCCACATCTATGTGTGGAGTGGAGTGACAGCAAGGCTTGTTGGCCCTCTTCTCTCTTTGGGAAAATAATTAGGTGAGAGCTTTGTATGGGACATTGCATGACGATGTCCAGAGACATGTCTGCTGCCTCTGCTGACCTCTGGCCAGCCACCTCCATGGGTCTTGCTTTCCGCTGTCTGCCCTTCATGTCTGCGTTGGGGTATAACTGGAGTAGAAGATGGCCTTCTCGTAGGCCATGGCCAGCCTGAATGCACTGCAATGCCATTGGCTTGTGTAGACACTGCTGCTATCCAGCAGAAAAGGAGTGGTCACCTAGCTGAGTGGATGAGAGCACAGAGTAGCCAGGCCACTTGGTGCAATCCCAGCTCGGCCCTTTGTGTCCATATGACTATGGGCAAGTTGACTTCACCTCTCTGCAGAATGGAGGTAACAACACTGCCTGTCTCACAGGGCTGCTGTGAGGATTAGGTGACTTAATGTGTGTAAAGCCTTCAGAACAGGGTCTGGCACAAAGCAAGTGCCATGTAAGTGTTTGCTGTTATTACTGCTGCCCACGGAGGGCATATGGATTGTTTCTGGACATGGCCTGGCATAGGCCTCTGTTCTGGGTGGCCCTGGGCTTTGTACATTAACATCGAGAGGTATAAATCGTGAGGTAGCATTCCTGGGCCAGCCAAGGTGTCACTGGATCTGAAGTGGGAGGCCTCTGGGAGGGGGGTAGTAAAAGTTGCCCTGGGGTTCCAGGGTCCCTGGAGACTGCTGGAGATTTGTCTCTCACTTCACCAATTGGGAGGCGGCTTGCTGGTGTTGGGCTGAAGCTGCACTCTTTTACCTTCTGGGGGCCTGCAGATGTCATTACAGGTGAAGAAACCCAGGCCTCCTCAGGTACACCCTGGCCTCCTGGTCTTTTAGGAAGCTGAGGGCAGTGACCCAGCTCTGGGTGGGGTCTGGCGCCCCACAGCCCCACAGGCTGAGGCAGACCCAGAATGGCAGTAGGCTCAAGGCTGTGAGGCACCAGGAGTCGGAAACAGAATGAACTGTTGATTCTTCCTGATTTACACTGATGGCTTTAGATAATCTGAAGTAGTTTTTTATCAGGAGTCCCTGGGAGGTGCAAACAATTAAACTGCTCAGCTGCTAACTGAAAAGCTGGCAGTCCGAGTCCACCCAGAGGCACTTCAGAAGAAAGCCTGGCTATCTGCTTCGGAAAAGTCAGTGGTGGAAAACCCTATGGGGCACAGTTCTACTCTGACACACATGGGGTCACCATGAGCTGGTATCGGCTCAACAGCAACTGGCAGTTAGCTTTTGGATAAACGCTAGCAACAAGGGAGTTCTGGGATATCCTCATTTTTGCTAATTCCAAATCAAACATGGCAAGCTGGTCTCTCCCCCAGGGCCTGTTCAGCAGGAGGAAATTGCCCGCCTACTATTCTCTGCTTCTATTCTCTCCTTCCCCAGTCCATACCAGGATTATGTCTGTCAATATTGTCGTAGAAATTAAACTCATGGCAATTGTGGACAGGGGCAGGCTGATTCACCAGACTCTTCTGTGCCTTGCTTACAGCTGCTTTAGCTTTTTATCCCAGACTGTGATCTTTCAGCTTTTGGGATCTTAGAAGAATGATACAAATTAACACTGTCAGGATCTTTGAAATGATCTGGAGAGGCCACACTCATTGTTTTATAGCAGAGGAAACAGCCCCAAAGAGAAGGATTAACCCCAAATCCTACAGGGTGTTAGTATAAGGCATGAAAGAAGGATATGAGTAAGGGGAATTTTCTATTTTTTTGTCACAAAGGAGGGCACTGGCTTTGTTCTTTCCTTAAAGGATTAAACACCTTTTCCTGTTCTCTGGAAATTTTAGGCTACAGATTTAGCTTAAAAAAAAAAAGAAGTCCTGACGGAAATTCTGGAAAATATAATAGACTATAATATGAATGGTTTGGGAGAGCTAGTTATAAAAGTTTGTGCTCCTTCGTCAGAGTTGGGCGGGGCTGAAGGACAGGCAGGCATTGATTTGTGTTTCCTGCAGGATAGCACTAGTAATGGGCAAGCTTTACCCTTTGGCGTCCTGGAGTCTCAGAGTTGGGAAGAGCAGTGTCCGTTCCAGTCCCTCAGTTTGCAGGTGAAACTGGGAGGACCATGGGGCCCACACCTTGAGGCACAGTAGGGACCTGGCCTCAAGGCGTCTGGTTCTTTCTACCCCTGCCCTCCTGCTGGCCAGCAACCTCTCTTATCGCAAACCAAAACCATGTTTAACGGTCACCCCATGTGTTACAGGGTAACACTGCCCCATAGGGTTTTCTTGCCTGTGATCCTCACAGAAGTAGTTCGTCAGGCCTTTCTTCTTTCATGCAGCTGGATGGGTTTGAACTGCTAACCTTTAGGTTAGTAGTCGAGTGCAATCTGTTTGTACCATCCAGGGACCTTCTATCGCAGATGATGCTGGTGAAAACATTGGTATTGTGGAAACTTCTGTGCCTCGTTGATGGGTTTCTATCAGACCTTTTCCTGATAGGAGAAAACTGAGAATAGCCATGGCCAAGGCAGACGGGAGCTTTCAAGAAGGAAATTGAGAGGTCCTCTTGATGCTTCTCCTCGTGTTAAATCTGGGAAAAGCTCATCTCTGAGGATAGCAGAGGCTGTGCTATTATTTATATAGAGTTGTATTATGTGTCAGGCACTATACTAGGCTCCAGGATTACAAGGTTGAACAAATAGACATGGTTCCTGCCCTTGGTGCTTAGGGTTCACGGGAGACATAAACTCTAATAAATACATACTTCCAAATTATGGATGATGTGGAGGGAAGAGCCTAGGTTCTTAGGGAGGATCAGAGAAGGCCTCCGTGGAGAGTCCTGAAGGCCTGGTAGCTAGGCCTCGCAGATGAAGAGCAGGGTAAGGGGCTGCAGGACGTGTGTGCACGGTCTTGAGAAAGACCAGTTGAGTGAGTTAGAATTGAAGGGACAGAATCTGTATGAGGAGTGTAGAGCCACAGGCTGAGATGGAAGAGGTAGATAGAAGCCAGATCACGGAGGGCCTTGGGAGGATGTGGGGTTTTGCTGTCACGGGAAGCTATTGAAGGGTTTGAAGCAGGAGAACAGCAGGGTCTGGCTATGGGTGGAAAACGGATGGAAAAGATTAACAGTAGAATTGGGGATTGTGTAAGTCCAGGCAAGAGGAGATGGCTGCTTGGCCTAAGGTGAGGGGTGGTAGAAGTGACTTGACTGGCCACGGTGGGTATGGGGAACAAGAGGTAGCAGTTAGTAATGAACTCTGGCTCCAGGGATTTTGTCACAGGCATTTAGACCCAACCTGTCTGCAAGAACTCTCCTCTTCCCTGATATGCTTTTCCCTTGGTCTTCATCATTTTCTATCTACCTATTTTCTCAAGCCAGAAATAAAATAAATCCTATTTTCATTTTTAGTTTTTAAAAGAGAAAATCCTGTCATAGATTCCTATGAAGTGGTCTTTAATAAACTGTATTAAACAGATTTTATTCTTCTGCAGGGCGTAGTGACGTTCCACAATACAGGCCTGCACCATAGTTTATTTAACCTACATGTCTCTTCTCTTGTTTTCCCCCTCTTTCAGGTCGACCAGTATCTCTACCACATGCGTCTCTCTGATGAGACCCTTGAGGAGATCTCTAAGCGGTTCCGCAAGGAGATGGAGAAAGGGCTTGGAGCCACCACCCACCCTACTGCTTCAGTGAAAATGCTGCCCACCTTTGTGAGGTCTACTCCAGATGGGACAGGTACTGCACTTGTGGGAATGGCTCTGGGTGTACCATTACTGGAGGGTTGTTTGGGGGGCTTTTCTCTGGGACCCAAAGAACCACGTGTCAGTGAAGGTTCTTTGGGTTCAAGCCTCAGTAACCAACCCTGGCAAATGTAAGCATACAGGGAAGTTAACAGAAGGATGTGGGGCAACTGGAAGACTGGAAAGCAGGCAGCCTTGGGGGCCAAGGTAGAAGTACGTTTTTGTCGGTCCCACCAGGGCACTGCTGCTGGGTGCATGCCTGCCAGCCGTTTGCTTTCCATCCATGTGCTGAGAAAGGCTGCTTGGCTCAGCTTGGGAGGGTGGCGTGCTTTGATTTTACAGTCCACTGAGACTGTACACAGTGGTGGAGATGAACTACACCAAACACACCGTAAGATGGTCACAGCCATAGGCCGTGGCAGTCACTCACTGGCCCACTGTACAGGTACGGCGTCCAACTGGCACATCCTGTAGGCATGCTAGAGAAACAAGGCAGTCAGATTTTCCCAGATTGTTCCCTGAACCTCACAAAAGAAAGACTACTAGAAGTTCACATAAACTTGGGAAAATGTGAAGTACTACAGTGTATATTGGAGCATTAAAATCTGAAGCCTTCCAGTAAAGAGCTTGTGAAATTCGGTTTAATCCATATTTCATGCCACATTGCCCAGCAATTAATTTAATCAAATTAGAGAAAAGGGTGATAGTAGAGATAGCAGGTTAGGGCTAGATCACAGAGGGCCTTGAATGCAAGCTTAAAATGTTTGGTCTTTCTTCAGTAGGCATTGGGGAGTAATGGAAAGTTTCTGAGGGTGTGAACAGAACTATCTTGGGTAACAAACATCATCAACTATCTTGGGTAACATACATCAGCAGCAGCATCTGAGGAGTAGAGAAGGGGAAGCAATGGGAGGCTGGTAGAGCATGGGACATGCTCCCTGGTTGGTGCAGTGGACAAGGAAGACAGAGGATTCAAAGGTGGTGTCAAGATGACGAGTCCAGCTGCCTGGAAGGGGAAACATTCCCAGAGAACGAGACAGAATTAAGGTGTATTAGATATTTCACATGGTTTGTTTCATTTAATCCCCACAATAACCTTTCATTTTAGAGATGAAGCACCAGTAGGGGCTATGAGGGGTGAGGGAAGTGGCACAGGTACTCACATCTAGAGGGCAGTAGAAAGAGCCCAAGGGGCAGCTGTCAGGACAGTGGAAGGACAAGGAAACATACAGTCCCAGCCTGAGAGGGGAGAGAGCTCCAAGAAGCTGGTGGTCAATGGTGAGGCATTTGCAGAGAGGTCATGGCGATGGGATTGGAGCAGGGCAGGAATGGGGTTTGTACATGTGCCCGCATGCCTTCTCTATTTCCACAACATCTGTGTCCCTGAGGCTTACCTGCTTGAGAGCTTCTAGGGACAGGGAGACCTGGCTTGTTAACAGATTGTATGATGCCTAAAATAAGTATGTGCTTGTTGAAGCCTTGGGACACAGCGTGGACCCAGAGCTGAGAGTGTGATCACCTTGTTCTGGATTGTTCTGTGTGTGTGTGTGTGTGTGTGTCTCAGCCGTTCAAAGAGCCCCTTGAGGTGAGGGGCCTCAGTTCTTGGGTTATCCCTCTTGACGACCTCAGTATTAGCACCTTTAGTGTACCTACCACTCCCTCTGACTGATAACCACACTCCCTTCTATTGTTTAGATTAGACTTTCTGATAAAATTACTAGCTCCTTAAGGCCAGAGGCTTTGTCTTATTTCTCACAGCACTAGAGCCAATCAGGTACCCTAACATGACCTAAGGACTGTTCTGAGTGCCTACATGCATTAAATCATTTACTTTTCACAAAACCCCTTAAAGTAGTTAACATTTTATCTACAATTTTTAGATGAGGATTTGAGGCTTGGGTGGGCAAATAATCTGCCCAGGGTCACCCAGCTAATGAGAGGCGGAGTCAGGATTCAAACAGGAATATGCCAAAGTTCAGGCATCAAGAATACACCTGACCCGTTGCTTGTGTGCATGTGAGCGTGTGCACTCAGCAGTGAGGCTCACAGCACATCTCATTTACATTTTTGAATCAAGGATGGGGTTGGGTATTTCCATCTGTATTGTGGGCAGCTGAATACGTTCACTGAGGAGAAATAAATACGGGACAAGCTTGTTTTATTCTCGTTGCTTCCCTGTGATTCACAGCACAGAGACCTCTCCCTGCCCCTTGAGGTTTGCACAGCTTGCTGCACTGTCTGGTTGTTTGAGTCTCCTTCCCTGACCTCAGACTGGAATCCTGGGAGCCCGCCTTCTCTCCACCCCTGCCCCATGTTGGAGCAAGCAAGTACATTTTGCTCTCCATAAATGCTGAGTTGGCCTGGACTGAAGACAGTGAGCCGGAGGAAGACTCCTGCAGCCTTCAGATCGAACCTAGCCCCCCTCACCCCTCTTTTGCTAGGGGGACAGCTCCTCTCCTCTGCTCTCCTCAGATGAGCTGGCCTTTGTAAAAGAAAGGTTTGATCCAGCAGTCCTGGTCTATTTTGCACTTGTACTAAAACAAGTGTGCTAGCATATTTGCACACACAAACAAGTTCTTTGAAATACTGTAATGGGGGAATAAAAAATGCTTAATATCCATTATCTGGATATTAATATTCACATGATACAGTCTTCTGCAACCCATTATAAAGCATGAGAAAGAATATTTGGAGTAGGATCTCATTTTGTAAAAACAGATGTACTTATATGTATATATTTATGCTATGACGGTAATGACAAATTGAAGAGGAATGGCATCTCATTCACTGTCAAAAACAACATTTCAGTATCTATCCTGAAGAACTATGCTGTCAATGATAGGATAATATCCAGATGCTTGCAAGGAAGACCAGTTAATACGACTATAGTAGCCACTCCTTATCTGTGGGGGAAATGTTCCAGGACTCTCCCAGTGGATGCCTGAAACTCTGGATAGTACTGAACCCTATACATGCTATGTTTTTTCTAATACATACATACCTCTGATAAATTTTGTTTATAAATTAGGCACAGTAAGAGATTAACAACAATAACTAATAATAAAAGAGAACAATTGTAACAATATGTTGTAATGAAAGTTATGTGAAGGTAGATTTTAGCAACCTTAGCGTATGATTTTTTAAAACTCCCTTATTAAGAACTTTCATCTTTTCACTTAAGGGAAGCACTTTATAGCTTCTCTTTGGCATATCCAAAATGCCAGCGTCACTGCTCTTGCCTTTGGGGCCGTTATTAAGTAAAGTAAGGGTTACTCGAACACAAGCACTGCAGTACTGCAACAGTCCATCCGATAAACCCAGATGGCTACTAAGTTACTAACGGGCGAGTAGCCTGTATAACATGGATACACTGGAAAAAGGGATGATTCACGTCCTGGACTAGATAGCATGAGATTTCATCACGCTACTCAGAATGGTGTGCAATTTAAAACTTATGAGTTGTTTAGTTCTAGAATTTCCCATTTAGTATTTTTGGACTGTGGTTGACCACGGTTAACTAAAACCGTGGAAATGGAAACTGCCGAGAAGGGGGAACTACCGCATTATTCAAATATATGCACCAACCACTAAGGCCAAAGATGAAGAAATTGAAGATTTTTTACCAGCTTCTGCAGTCTGAAATTGATCAAACATGCAATCTAGATTCATTGATAATTACTTGTGATTGGAATGAGAAGGAGCCCTGGCGGTGCAGTGGTTAAGAACTCGGCTGCTAACCAAAAGATCGGCAGATTGAATCTACCAAATGCTCCTTGGAGCCCCTATGGGGCAGTTCTACTCTGTCCCTTTAGGATCGATATGAGTCGGAATTGACTCAATGGTTTTGGGTTTGGTGGAATGAGAAAGTTGGAAATGAAGAAAGATTGGGAGGTGGAAAATATGGCCTTGGTGATAGAAATGACACTGGAGATTGCATGATAGAATTTTGTAAGACTAATGACTTATTCATTGTAAATACCTTTTTTCAACAACATAAACGGCCACTATACACGTGGACCTGGCCGGATGTAATACACAGGAATCAAATTGACTATATCCGTGGAAACAGACAATGGAGAAGCTCAGTATCATCCGTCGGAACATGGCCAGGGGCCAACTGCAGAACAGACTAATCAATTGCTCTTATGCAAGTTCAGTTGAAGCTGAAGAAAATTACAACAAGTCCACGAGAGCCAAAGTACGACCTCGAGTCTATCCCACCTGAATTTAGAGACTATCTCAAGAATATATTTGATGCATTGAACACTAATGACCAAAGACCAGAAGAGTTATGAGATGACATCAAGGACATCATACATGAAGAAAGCAAGAGGTCGTTAAAAAGACAGGAAAGAAAGAAAAGACCAAAATGGATGTCAGAAGAGACTCTGAAACTTGCTCTTGAAAGTCGGGTAGCTGAAGCAAATGGAAGAAATAATGAAGTAAAAGAGCTGAGCAGAGGATTTCAGAGGACGGCTTCAGAAGAAAAAGTAAAGTATTATAATGACATGTGCAAAGACCTGGAGTTAGAAAATCAAACGGGAAGAACACTAGACATTTCTCAAGCTGAAAGAACTGAAGAAAAATTTCAAGCCTCAAGTTACAATATTGAAGGATTCTATGGGCAAAATATTAAATGATGCAGGAGGCATCAAAAGAAGATGGAAGGAATACACAGAGTCACTGTACCAAAAAGAATTGGTCGACATTCAACATTTCAGGAGACAGCATATGATCAGGAACCAATGGTACTGAAGGAAAAAGTCCAAGCTGCACTGAAGGCATTGGTGAAAAACAAGGCTCCAGGAATTGACGGAATACCAACTGAAATGTTTCAACAAATGGATGCAGCACTGGAAGTGTTCACTCATCTATGCCAAGAAATTTGGAAGACAGCTACCTGGCCAACCGACTGGAAGAGAGCCATTTTTATGCCTGTTCCAAAGAAAGGGGATCCAACCAAATGTGGAAATTATCAAACAATATCATTAATAT